AATAGTTGCCTAAATAACAACAAACTTTTCTTTCTCAAAAACACAGCAACTTTACTTGCCTTTTCAGGCAAAAAAAGTTGCCATAGTCGCCTTATGCCAAAAACAATTTCAAATCGTTGCATTTTAGTCGCCTGTGGCAACCCGGTCTTTAATACACTAATTAAAATTTTTGTAAGATTTTTAGCTTAGATTGTCCTCTATCTTACGGAACGCTTACACAAACAGTTTTGAATTAAGTTAGTACATTTATTGATTAATCCTTTGCTTACAGCTAGTACAAATGGCCAATAATAGCATGCTTTAATTGTATGCAAAAGGGGTAATTAGAAACATACAGAGCCATAATAAAATTGAAAAACTACCTTTACTGCATCAGCAGCCTTTTGAATGTCAGACTCCACTTTACTTAACTCTCTTTCTTTTCCTTTTTTAAATTGTTCCAATTTTTTCCTACTAGAAGCAAGAACTTCTTCATCTTTTGCACATGAGTAGATTTTTCTCTGAAATAAAATAGAAGAAATAATAAATATTTGATAAAAAGGATATCTGAACAGTAAAAGTCTATCTTACCATTGTCAACAAAAATGCTTTAATTGCATTAGAAACAAAAATTTTAATAACTCGAAATAAATAATAAAAAAGAAACACCCCAATGTATGAAGATTTAGGATCAGGTCACAAGATGACAGAATAACTCATACAGAGATGTTAATATCTGGATACATTTTTCTAACTTAAAAGTGAAACTTTTTTTTTTTATTCAAAGAACAACTAATAAAATACAGATGATTGAAGTATGCATACTTAAAAAAACATTAGCAATATTAATTTTGAAACATAGATTTAGGGGCTGGACAAAATAATGGAAACACTTCTATGCTGACACATTTTTTGATCTTTCTCAAAAAAATCTTAGAGAATCACTTTATAAATTTAGAAGTGTTTAGTATATATGATTTCTCATACCTATCAATGAAGTTCAAAGCTTTTACATGTTTGAGGGGCGACAATAAATTACAAAAAATAGTGTTTTTGGACACCCTAAGCAAAACATTGTAGCAATAAATTTATAACAATTATTTTAGTTATTACTCGTGAAAAATGCACATAATTTTGTAAACCTAGCTNAATTAAGAAGGTGTGGATATTTTTATAAAATTTTTTTTCAATACGTTTTTTTGCTATAACCTAAAAGATTTTCTATAAATTTCTTTTTGAAGTATTAAACAAGATTTATTCAAAATTACACAGCCATTGTTGAAAATCACTCACCATAAAAACATCTTTTCTCTTCTTATATAATGACATTTTGTTATATGACAGGGTTGCCACTCAAATCTGGAAAAAAAATTCCCTGTGTTTTCCCTGTACTATTATACACAATATATTAAAAGGAAACAACAATTACTGTGCTCTTTTGTGAGCTATATAGGGCTAACTATATTTATTAGTGTTAATCGCTGGGAAAACAGCTGAACATATTTAAATAATGTTATAGTAAGTGAAATAGTTTAGTATAGCTGGAATATCATGGCTAAATATCCCATAGATTACGCTTTGAGTGGGCACCATTTTTTAAAAGACAAAAATAAGAAACAAAATTCCCTGTATTTTCCCAGTTTGCAAGGAAAAAAAATCAAAATTCCCTGCATTTTCCCTGTTATTTTAGGTGATTTTTAAATTCCCTGTTCTCCATGTAGAGTGGCAACCCTGTATGAACGTTTATTGTATGGTATCATCATTTGTTATATAATTTTGTCTCATGATACAAGATAATATTTGTAAAAAACCATTTATCATTTTGAGTTCTTTTAAAAAGTTCAAACATTAAATAAATTTTTTTTAAGATATTCAAATAGGATTTTTGTTACGTTAAACGCAATTATGAACATCTACCTAAATAGAAAACCCCTTTCAGATTTCTGTGCAGAAACTTCTGTATATCATTAGCTTGATTGTGGAACTGGCAAATGTCATATTTGATTCATTTAAAAAACGCAGTACCCTTGGATAAATTGACATTCCGGATAACTTGACCTTCGTCATTATAATTATTTCATAAAAGAAATACTAGGTTACTATTATTAACCCAGTAATTCTGCTCACTTGTACTGTTTAATTACTGTATAATGTAATCCTAGTATTTGTAATCCTAGTAACTACCAATTCATTGTGCAATTTACATAAATGTTTGTAATAAATAAGAGAAAATTATATTTTTATTTATTTAGAAGCGACGGCTTAGTTTCAAAGGAGGACGGGTACATTGTTGGACAAGCCGTCTTCGGGGACGGGTGAAATTTCTGAGTTTTTTCGAGCCCTGAGGCATACCATCATAATTAACGATCACCATCAGCAAAAGTGCAAATAAGCATAATTAGTATTTACTATAATTATATTAATCTAATTATTAATTAAATTAAATATAATTATTTATTACAAGTGAAAGCTGTACATCCTTGGAATGCTCATGTTATCGTAATATTGATTTTATTTAATTTTATAACCAGCATTGTACAGCCCAGCCGATTCTGTGTGTTCTGAGTTTTGTAATTTTGAACACAACCCAGAGGCAGGGATGAGATTAGCCAAAAGGCAAATGTTCTTTTAAAAAGTTCAAACATTAAATAGAAAATTTTTAAGATATTCAAATAGGATTTTTGTTCATTACTTGCCAAATATGATTCACAACAAAATTATGAAGAAAAAAATTTATAAACTTTTTCCATGAATGTGCAGTATGAAATAATTACTTTATTTATTATATTGCACAGTTTTCGTTAATTTTTTTTCTAAATTTTAAAGCAAAAAACTGTAAACTGTGAAAACCTTTAAATTCCTCTAAATATTTTGTTTAAATTTATTAAATATTTTTAAAGTTTGAGCAAAAATGTAAGACCCCCCCCAAAAAAAAATAGTTTTTTTTATAAAACTGTTTGTGTCTTCATAACTATTTAAGCTAAATTATGAAATTTTATGTAATTATTGCCTATAATAACCAAAAAAATTCTTACAATTTACAAATTTATTGCTAAATTTTTTGGTATAGGGTTTTCAAAAACACAATTTCTTGTTTGTAATTTATTGTTGGTCCCTCAAATAATATTAAAATTTCATTGATATCGCATGACATAAACATTTCTGAAATTATAAAATAATTCCGTAAGTATCTCTTGGGAAATATGAAAAAATTTATTAGTATTAAAGTTCTTCTATTATTTTGTCCACCCCTGCATATATTTTTAAAAGTAAACAATTATTGACGTAGTTAGGCTATTGAAATCAGAATTTCTGAAGTTATAAAATAATTCTGTAAGTATTTCTCAAGAAATATGAAAAAATATAGTATCAAAGTCCTTCCATTATTTTGTCCACCCCCTGCATACATTTTTAAAACGAAACAATTATTTATATAGTTAAGCTACTGAAATTAGAAATTTAATTAAACTTAAATTTGCATTGCTAACAAGGGGAAAAAAAGCATAAGTAATAATTAATAATTATAGGTCTCAGAAAGTTCATTTTTATTAATTAATTGACAAACAAACGGGAAGAGATTTGCTTAACTAAAAATAATGCTCAATTTTAAATTCAGGTACCTACCATGTGTTAGGTGTAAGTGGCAAATAAGAGCATGATATTATTTATAACAGGCATAAGCTTTCTTGATCTAAATTCAATTATTTATCACAGAAAATAAATAAGTTGGGTTGTAATTTGTTCACCTGAGAGTTTAGTACAGTTTTATATTTAAGGAAATATCAATATTTAGTGCAGTTAAAATTTCAGGCTGTTATGGCTGAGTCATTTCAAAAACAAGAATGCTAGACACAATATTATATTTCAATATGGTGAAAGTGGGCTTGGGTCTGGGGGTGGTCAATAATCACATTTCAAATGATTTGGAATCACATCAGATGTCATAATGACAATTTATGTTTGGTCATCAACAAATGCAACCAATATTGAAAATTTTTTTTCGTACACATGCACAAAAGAAAATAATTGCATATTCCATCATTCACATTCTTGCAGTAAAAATAATCAGAATTTTAAATTTCATATAGAAACTCAAAGTAACACGGCAGAAAAAGATATTAACAAAACGTTATCAAATTCGTAAACACGGACATAGAATTTTCTGTACATGCACGTAATGTGAAATATTGGCGTATTTTGTAATTCATATTTTTGTACTGAAATGAAATCGGAATTTCAAATTTTATGCAGAAACTCATAACACTGCAAAAAAAAAAAAAATACCAATTAACCATATGAATCTACAGTTAAATAATCACAAATCTAGTCTGTCAAAAAGAGGTTTCCTTAAAACACGACTTGTGAATCACTTGTGGTGAATATATTACGTTAGAAATTCAGATTCTAAAAACAATGAGGAAATATATAACTAATAACTGTTGAAAAAGATGATCAACAAGATAATGTGAATTTACAAAAGAATCATGACTAATCAAGTGTGTCAAAAAAATTTTGTATTAAAAATATTAGGATTTTGAAAGCCTTGTGGGAATACACAACAATAACTGCCGTAACAATGTTGAAAAAAAAAAACTATATAAATTGTTGTGATTGAGTGCCGAAAAAGTATCAATTAAAAATATCAGCACAAGAAAATTCTTAACCAAAACAGCAGAAATTTTTGTTTAAAAAAGCAGTGTTTATTTGCAATGGAATTGTAACAAAATTGAGCAAGTAAAGTAATTACTCAAACGCTCCATTTAAAAAAAAAGCAGGTCATTAATGTATCCTAAAAAACAGATTCTGAAAACCAGCTGATTTTAAAAATATTTTTTAAATTGAAGTCAAAAAAGTTTTAGAGTGCTTTAAAATTGAAATATTGAGCAGTTTGTTTTTACATAAATAAGTAAGTATAATAACTAATAAACACCCAAAAATAAATACCATTTTGATACAAAAAAGAATTTGCCGTTAAGCAAAATTTGGATCACTTTTGGAGCAGCTAAAATGCAAAAATTTTAACTGGAATTCTATGCCTGATGTCAATATAAATTTCGAGTGTATTTGAAAAAGTGCAAGCAAATTGCTAACCACTTTGAAACAAAAATTACTTGACACAAAACTTAGAAAATTATATAGCTACAAAAAAGTGTAAAAATTCTGCCTTTTTTAAGAAAACTAAAAAAGAAAATAGTTTTTCTTTGTCAAACCTTAAACAAAAAACATAGGATGCACAACTTTCGCAATGAATTTCTTTTACCACTCAAAATTCCCCAATGCCTTTTAAAAGTTATAAGCCCTATATTTTGTTTTAGGTTTGGCAAATATAAAAATTATTCTATAAAAAATCAATGTACCATATAGGCATACCATCATAATTAACGGTCACCATCAGCAAAAGTGCAAATAAGTATAATTAGTATTTACTACAATTATATTAATCTAATTATTAATTAAATTAAATCTAATTATTCATTACAAGTGAAAGTTGTACATCCTTGAAACGCTCATGTTATCGTAATATTGATTTTATTTAATTTTATAACCAGCATTGTACAGCCCACCCGATTCTGTGTTTACAGAGTTAAACTCCGTAGTTTCGTAATTTAGAACACAACCCAGAGGAAAAGAACTTTTGGATCAAGTATGGTAAGAAACAGACCTTCATGGAGGACTTTTTGATAAAACTAATCCACATTTACTTTACATGAAGAGGAAAACCACAAAAACCTCCTATGGTTAGCCTGACTGTAAGGGAACTCTATCAAATAATCCATCTATCGCTGGGCCACCTCATTGAGAGACAAGCACTTCTACATCACAAGATGCATTCGAATTTAAAACGTCATACTACTTTCTTTACTTTGAGAGACGATAATAATTAAAATTAATATAATTAAGATTATCATTATAAAGACTATCATTATAATTAAGATCATTTGAGATTTACTTTGCCACAAATAAATTTCATGTTTGTGAATAAACATAAATTTTAAGCTGCATTAATGGTTCAAAAAGTTAAAACCTAAATTTTACCAAAGGACATCATATGTTAATTTTACATACACTTACTTGAAGATTTAAAGAAAATTTTCATTTTAGAAATGAACCCTGTGGTGATAATGTTTCAACCTTTTGATAAATGTTTCAACAGAATTACTTTTTTAATAACATCAATTGTTTTTTTAATAGAATTGAATTTTCAATTCTTGAAAAAGTGGTGACTATTTAAAGTGCTAACAGTTGCCAGCTACGAAATTTCCTAATTTTGTACTATAATGCATCATATTATAAGTAAATGCTAATGTTTTCTTCTCTATATTTATTAAACATAAAAAAAACTTAATTTTTGCTATAAGAGGCTTTCTTAAATTTAAATTATTCACAGACAGTAAATAAGAATAGAAAAAACTCTTATTCTAGACTAAAAATAAATAAATAAATAAAAAAAAAAACTTACCCCCAATGTTTCAAATGTTCCATTTAGGCTAGTTACTAAAGTTCGTTGCTGGTTAAATTTTACCCTGATTTCTTCATGTTTAGCTGCATGCATTTTAAGTTCCTCTTCAGCTTTCCTTAGTTCCTCTTGTTTTTTGTCCAAATCAGCTTTCAGTGATGTATACTCATCATACTAAAACATATAATATCATCATTCAGAAAAATAAAAGTATTTCAATAATTAAACAAATTTAATTATTATCAAGTAAATTTAAAGTTAATTATTAATTTAAAATTTTTGTTATTTATATTTGTCAAACAAACTTTTTAAACATTGAGCATAAAAAATAGATACCAGATTCTTATAAAAATTGACAAGTTATAATGGAACGTTAGAAAAAGGTATAAAACGATGATGATGATCAGCAGGTTTGCCTAATACTTCAATGTTTAAAGTAATAATAATAACAAATGAAATTATGAGTAAAGAGATACTGCAGGTTCTATTAGGAAATACAAAGATGCAGCACAGTTATGTTGTTTCTAATGGTACTTGGACAAGTCAAACTTAAGGCTTAAACTGAAATTGACTACATTTTAGCATGAAATATATCTTTCGGATTGTAATAAATGACTACTTAATAAGTTATCTAGTCTGCCCACAGAAGACCCATAGCTTATCTACACAAGCCCGTGTAGCTAGTGTGAACAAAAGCAAACATTTTCAATAAACTTATTATGGACAGGAAAACTTAAGAACTTTGTAATTCCAGATACAAACCAGAATGCAGGTCAATGCCCAAATTATACTTAAAAAATTACTACATGATTTAAAAATTATATTAAATATTGTTTTTTTTTTCTTGTTGACAAATTTGTATATGTTCAAACTAGTCCCTCTTTCCTCTAATTATTGATTTATTTTGGAGTTAAAATACGTAGTATTACAGGGTTGAAGGCTCACCATTTCAGGCACATTTCTCGGTTCTTCAAACTGCTTATATTCTTCAATCAAACCATTAATATCAGCTTTTGATGTTGTTAGATTCACAATTTTATTTTTCAATTTATCTAAAGTTGAATGGCACTTTTGAAGTTGTAATCGCCCATCAGTCATTTCACTTTCTCTCTTTTTTATTTCAATATCAATTGTTTCGATTTCCTCCTGGAGTTTTCTATAACAATTTCAAAAAAGCACTTTATTTAGACAAAAATACGAAAATGGCTAAAAAAGTACAAAAATTGCTACCTTAATGGAAAAAATAAATATTCATAAGATAATGAAACGAAAAGCTTAGACTCCTTTCCACTCTATAGCGGAAGCCGCGGTAATCCGACTATCGTTCCGGGGGCTTGGGTTTCTCTAATTGGACTCCCTAAAAATTTTAGTTTCTGGAACATGGTCGGAAATTTTAAAAATTGGGAGAAAAAAAGCGGCCTTCCGCTTTTTCGCGGAAGTCTTTCATCCCTGAATAATTATGGGCACTGTACAGTTTCCTAAGAAAAAAAATTTAAGATAATAACCAATAGTATAAGGGAAGAATACCCTCTTTTCTTACAAGATCACGTGCATACGATACTGATTGCTACTCAGTGCTGTACATAATCCAATTGTAGACACGAAACGCATATTCTATATGCATTCCAATAGCTGATTTGCCAAACGGAATTTCTGACATTTAAATGATGTATTTAGGAGGCCAGGCGTGAACGGCAAAATGCTCTCCAATGACTCACGGCAATGCGGATTAATATTTGAAACTGAATTTAGGTTTCTCAAATTTTGGACGTTTTGTCTCAGAATGGCGCAATTATGCCGTTTTGTTTCAGTTTGTTGCAAATGGCGCAGGCGTAGCATCCCTGATATATATATGAAAAGTGATTACTCAAATTCGAAATTCACGCATTGCAATATCGTATTAATTTTTTACAGAAAAAAAAAATCATTGAAAAGGCGATCGAGAAAAGAAATAGACTTACAATGGGGGAGTCTGTGCAGATTGAACGAATTAAAAAGTGAAGACTCAAAATTGCAATTCAAAATTTTTTAAGAAAAAAAAAGTTCAATGTGTTCGGAAACTATCTTATGGGGTGCAGATTTTCCACCCAATTTATGCTTTAAAAAAAAACATTGTTAGGAGTTTAGGGAAGTCTCCCAATAGTCTCCTTTTCCTGAAAATAGTTGCCTAAATAACAACAAACTTTTTTTCTTCAAAAACATGGCAACTTTATTTGCCTTTTCGGGGAAAAAAAGTTGCCATAGTCGCCTCATGCCAAAAACAATTTCAAATAGTTGCATTTTAGTCGCCTGTGGCAAACCTGTCTTTAAAACACTAATTAAAATTTGTGTAAGATTTTAGTTTAGATTGTCCTCTATCTTATGGAACGTTTACACAAACAGTTTTGAAGTAAGTTAGTACATTTATTGATTAATCCTTTGCTTACAGCTAGTACAAATGGCCAAGAATAGCATGCTTTAATTGTATGCAAAAGGGGTAATTAGAAACATACAGAGCCATAATAAAATTGAAAAACTACCTTTACTGCATCAGCAGCCTTTTGAATGTCAGA